CGGTCGTTTTCTTCTTATATATTCATTGGTGAAAGTGCTGTGAGAGAACAGATATGACCTTCTTGATTGCCCAAGTTTGAAGAAAGACATATTGTTTTCCTTTCCCCTTAACCGACATGTTTCTAAATCCCAGTGCCTTGTGCTTTGTTTTGTTGAAGTGAGAACAGATTTTATACTTTTTTGTGAATATTTATTCCATAAAACAACTGCCCCGGTTCAAAAGTTTTACTAATGGTAGAATGTTTTACATTCCGGTCTTTTTCATGATAGACGTATGTATGTATGTATGTATGTATGTATGTATGTATGTATGTATGTATGTATGTATGTATGTATGTATGTATGTATGTATGTATGTATGTATGTATGTATGTATGTATGTATGTATGTAGATGTTAGTTGGTTTAATGGGGTTGCTGTTAAATAGTTTCCGAGGCAGTAGTTCCAAGTTCAAAGCCTGCGGCTGTCACCTGAAATTGGTGGTGAAACATTTCGTTGTCATTCGGCTCAAGGCTTGGTCACGATTATTTGGAGCCCTGCTACAAGCCATAGGGATGAGGTAACTGGCTCTTACAACTGATTGGCGTGTCCTCATGACTCTGGCGTTCATCTCTTCTACGAGTTGTTTTTACCAAAATTGGTAATATGTTAAACGTAAGAACGGAAATATGGGAGTGGTTGATCACTAAACTGTCCCATTTGATCGGAACACTCACTGCACTACCTGCCTATTAGTCAGTGAGCAACGATCAAACGGTGTAACAGGTGTCTTCATAGAACTTACCACAAGAAATGCGGTCGGATCACTTTCTTTCAGCATTTCAATGCAGAATTGTATCAACCCGGTTGATTTTGTGAGCATCTGCGTCACCTGGGTGATTTGTTCACGCATACAATGCACTTTCTCCTCCCGCGTGTTGCGTAAACGTTCTGTCAGGTCTGCTTTTTTCTTCTCTAACGTTCTAATCAACGCGTCCAACTGTTCCGCGATTTGTCGTTCTGATTCGAGCATTTTGTGCTGATGAGTGCAATGCGAGACGATGGAGACGAGGAGAACAGCGGGGAGGGGCAGGGAAATAGGTGAAATTGTTTAAATTTATACTTTGCTCATGTAAATAATCACAGCATATTTAATTTGGGTGTATTAGGCCACTGGTGATACTAGGCACCCTGGAGGCCAACTTTCTGCATTATGCTGAAATTTTTAAAATGTTCAATAGCCTCGGTGGGATTCGAATGGACGCATAGACGACGCCTATGCTGGGTAATATCACAGTCATTCTCTGATTTACTAGGTCTTCAGTTTTGCCTATAAGAGTTAATCAATAGTATGAGCCTAAAATGTGTCATCAACCACGGAAATTAAACTCAACTTGTCCTGGATTTTTATCTATTGATTTTGAGCTGTCAACGGCCAGTTCTATGACTCAGAACAATGGGTTTAGCGGAGTCTCTGTTGTTGTGGTTATTGTTGGAACATTTTTACTGGTATAAGGAGAACGATTAGAAGTGCAGTGGTAGAATATCTTGCAGACACGGGCTATCAAGCGAACGAGGATGCATTCAAGGTGATCTACAAACTACCAACAAACCCATCCAAATCGGTTCATCAACGGCACCTTTCTACAGCCGAGATGATGGTGACTATTCCCTTACATAATCCATCCTTTTTCACCAGAAGCGATACGTTCAGTCACTTCGCTTATCCTGACCTGACACAGCCGACCCAAACGAACGTGACCTTTGGCACGACCCAAGGACACAGACCGGAAATGGAACAGCTCACTCAATTCATCGACTGTTAAAATTTCCAGATGACACAACAAGAACAACAAAAGGTCTCTGCCTCCTCATTTCCGAACCATATATCACGATATCACAATCAACCAACTATATTCTGTCCATCACACCATTATTCTAGTTTGACAACCTAGAGTCCTCAATATAACTGTATTGGTCTGAGGTTGAATTTATCAAAAATCATCTTTGTTCGCTACAATGATTTCCTAATGTCATGATTGGAATATCCACTGAGAACTATTCTTTAACATTTGTTTCATTGACATTCATTTTAATTTGTATCCAATCATTGTGGCTTTCTCCAAACTTACCAATAAAAATGCAATAGCTTCCATTTCTGCTGCCCAAAATAAGAATCATTTAGAATGTATTTTTTATCGTTGAAATGAAAACAATTTGTTCGAATTCACATATAAGTAATAATTTCTAAAAAAATAAAGTACGAAACAAAAGAAGCTGTCCATAAAACAACTTTGGTTTGCACTTAATTATCAAATGTCTGAGTGCCGTATTGTTGTTGCTGACAGAAACCATTTTCGTCCCACGAAAGACTTGGAGAATATGGTCAATCACCATCCGATCAGGGATTGTATAAAGTGAAAATTGTCGTAGTTCTGAACAACGAAAACAACAATAGCAACCACAACAATAGTGATAACGAGGATCAACAGGCGAGACGGTTTTTTCTTCTGCCCCGAAAAAACCATCCATTCAAAAACAAACAAACAAACAGAAGGTGATTTTTACTGCTTCTGTTGTGTTGCTTTAACTTGCGACTGTCTCCCAGGGGTGGTAGAAGTGATCAAAAAATTATGTTTAGGTAATTCGTATGACCGGAAAATCTCTTTTCACGTTCCTTCGGTTGAATCGGTCCTATTCCTGACAATTTTAAATTCACAAAACCAGCGCCCCACTCAGACCAATTTTATACATGCAGAATTCATCATTTCACAAGGTGGCCGGATAGTTGATCGACATTTTGGATCCTATTCGCAAAGCTCCGACGCCTCATTATATTAAAGACTCTTTTTAACTTGCTAATTTATTGGACAATTTTAATTTATCTTCTCATAAGACGTTTTCTATTGATGTTGATTCACTTTCCACAAATGTTCCTCTCCATGAAACAGTGGACTTTTTATGTGATTTTATCTCTTCAATGAATATTCATCTTCCTATTCCTCTTGATGAATCAAAAGTTCTTATCATTGTTTGCACCGAAAACATACGTTTTGAATTTGAAGGAACTGCGCACAGACAAATTGACGGTGTAGCAATGAGCAGTCCCATAGGCCCAACACTAGCCGATGTTTTTTCTTGGAATGATTGAAAGGCGATTGAATGATAATATTTCAATGTCTGTTTTGTACACACGTTATGTTGATAATATTTTGATTTTTACCGACCCTGTGCATTTTAACACCATTTTAACACTGTTTAATACTATTCATCCCAATCTCTCTGTTTCTGTTGAGGAGGAAAAGGACGGTTGTTTGGATTTTTTCGATATAAAAATCAGGAGGCGATCAGATGGAACCTTGCAAAGATCCATCTACCGTAAGACTACATGGAGTGGACAATACTTACAATTTGCCAGTTTTGCTCCTGTGGCTCACAAAAGAGGTCTGGTGAAGCCTCTATTCCATCGCGCCAGGAATATATGTTCATCTGACACTGTCCAAAAGGAGGAGGCCTTTCTGCGAAGGACGCTGCTAGATAATGGCTATCCAGAGAAATTTACTGATATGCATAGCAGACGAAAGACATCGGTTGATCTCGCCTGCGAAGTACCAAAGAAGAGCGTCTTCCTCAGACTCGCCTTCAAAGGTGATCATATAATGAACGACGTGCGTCGAAAGCTCAACGCGGCACTGTGTCGAACGTTTCCTGCCGCACAGCTTTGATCGATACCGTATACCCAAGGACTTCGTTTGGTCAATCGAAAACCGAACCAGCCGAACAATTTTGCTGCACATATCGTCTACCAGTTCACCTGCAGTTGCGGTGACACTTACATTGGCAGAACAAATCGGTCCCTGGCACAACGGATGTCTGGACACATTCCCAAATGGTTGGTACAATCAACGCAACAAAGTCTCGGAGGTCAAACCAATAACAGAAATCCAGGGTCATCCATCGCGAAACATCTAATGGCAACTGGACACATCGTTGACCCACAAATGTCGTTCAAACCGTTATTACGTAACCTGAATCCCAGGATTTTGGCGTTTAGCGAAGAGATGCTAATCAAGCTACGTAACCCAGTCCTGTGTGCACAAAAGTTCCTTACACAATCAGTCAGACTGCCATGGACCTGATTTCCCACCTCACCCTCTCGCCCGCTTCCCTGACTATTGTCCGTTTCATCACTGTGGCTGTCAAAACTTGCTTGTATAAATACCAGATTGTTTTACGTTGTAGCGACTGAAGAGATTAAAAGAAATGTTAACATCTCGCACTATTCCTGACAGTGAGTACAAAACTTCGAAATCTCAGACTTTTGGCACTGAATAATAAACAGATGGGCTGTGCTATATCGTGTATATTGCACATGAGAAATGGTCTGATCAGTCACCCAGTGGCCTGCGTTCTGCCTGTGAACTCCCGGGTTCGATCCTCAGCTGGGTCAATGGATTCGCACTGCTGATGAAACCCAACCGGGTCGAGGCAGCTGATCAGCGCTTCCCAACGTTTCAGCTCACACCTGGTTTACGCGATGAATTCATCATATAAACAAATCAACTCCTCCATTGTTACTCTCATATAATAAACAACTAATTAGATAGCAGGCAATAGGACACTGAACTCTGTGCCCCCGTTGAAACATTTAGTCATTTGGTATGACCTGTTCGGTTAAACTGACAGGTTTTTTCCCTTGAACCATAGCAGCAGCAGCAGCAGCAGCAGCAGCAGCAGCAGCAGCAGCAACAGCAGCAGCAGCAGCAGCAGCAGCAGCAGCATCAGAATCATCAGCAACATTTGCTCTTACTTGCTAATAGTTTGGCTGTGGAATACCACCCGTGGCTTTTAAAACGATCTATTCTAACCGCGTGTATTAACAAACAACGAGATAAACTTCATTGAGTATTGGTGCTCCTCAGCATGCGGATTGAACAGTTCAGTAGTCTTAGAGTTCAGGATAGAGAGCGAGTGCATTGGGGAGCCCGAAGCTTGGGTATTAGCAAATAAGAAATGTATCCACTTGACAGTGATTGACTGTAAAACATGATCAGATATAGGGTGTCATGAAATGTGTTTTGTTCAGAATCAGTTAGTCTGTGACTGTTGAACAATTTCGCAAATCTTCTTTCCAAACGATTTTGTTCTATTGCGCTGGTCTCAGCGGCTCTAAAGTTAACTGAAAACGCCACTCTGAGTTGGATGCCGTGTCCACTCTAATTCATTTTGTCAACAAGTCATTGGACAATTTGGCCAAGTCTGTCCGTTGTGTTTTTCTTGACTATTCGTCTGCGTTTGATTCTCTGTCTCGATCATCCCTTCTATTCAAATTTGAATCCTTTGGCACTCCAAAACAGCTGCTCTCATGGCTTGCTGAATATTTCACAGAGAGGATCCAGTGTACCAAATTATGAAGGAGGACATCAGACCTCCTGTTAATAATTCTGGTGTTCTTCAAGGTGCTGTTCAATCTTCATATCTTTTTTCTGCCTTTATTAATGATCTTTCTGTCCCACCCCCTGCGCACATCCAAAAGTATGCTGATGATATAGTTTTGTCTCAGACAAATTCATCTCCCTTGGACTTTCATTCTTTTACTGAAAACCTATCTCACATCCAACAGTTTTCTGACCAATCTGGTCTCATTCATAATATATCTAAGTGCGTAGAGTGTATTTTCAGTCTTTCCCGCTCCTCATTTCCAACGGACACTGCTATTCCTAGCGATAAACCTGTATCTAGAATGACCTCAGTGAAGTACCTGGGTGTCACCATCGACAGCAATCTTCGTTGGTCTACACATAATTACAACTGTGTGGGAAAACTGGGACGCCTGTTTTTTTTCCAGTTACGCAAACTGAGGCAATTCTGAACCCCGCAGTCAGTCCTGTCATCCTTCGTTCATCAATGCGTTTTACCCATTCTACTCTATTGTTCTCCTGTAGTGTTTCCCGGTCTTTTAAAACATGACTTCAAAACTATTCAGCGCGGTTCGGTAATCATCAGTAGTGGATCATTAATTCCGGTCGATTCAATAATCCCAGATCTCATTGATGGTTACATCAACTCTTGTTTTACATCTGCTCATAAGATTGTAGATAACCCTGTTCAGCCACTTACACCCTGATCTTTCGTCTCGTCGTTCCCATCCGTTCTCATTTCAACATCCACCCTCTCGGATTAACATTTATAAAAATTTCGCTGAACCCTACCTGGAACTTACTTACCAAAAAGGAACAAATCTCAAATGAACTACATCAAAACTGTTGTACATGAAACAAATATCACCGACATTTTTAACCAAATTGTAAGCATATATGCTTACGCAAGTTTTTACGAATACAAAAAACAATACAATACAATTGTTTCTTTTTCTTTTCTTCGTGGCAACTGTCGCATAGGCAGACATTCGTTATACTGCTTCCGACTCTCGGCTGCAGGGCTAACTGCCTGCCCAATGACCGAAACATAGGAAACGCTCACCAGACTGGGAGTGAATAATGCATGATTGAAAATGCCGCGAAAGACTTCGGACGCGCGGAGGATAAAGTCGATAAGCTGTGTAGATAAAAGATAATGCTCAAATACGAATACAACTAGGCGAATAGTGCATGGATGGACCTGAAAATAGACCATCCTGACTGTAAAATCATAAAGTGCATTACCACGATGGAAAACTAATATGAGGAATTTGTACAATTGATTTAAACCAGAGTCAGATGCTCAAACGCTGCTGATACCTTTGTGAGTGTGTGGAGAACTCATCTGATCAGATGAGTCCATATTAGAACAATGCCAAATGTAAGAAAAGTCTGCACCAGTCTCCGTAAGTGTAAGAACCCTGTCTGTCAATCTTCAAGTAAGAGGTTGCATTTTCTTGCTACAGAGGTTGAAGTAAATTGCCACCACGTATATATATATATGTTTTCTTGTTTTTTTTTTGGGGGGGGGGAGACAAAACGAGTGAAGGATGCGTTATCATTAACCTCAAGATAACAGATGATTTCATATCCTGTTCTAATCAAGTGATGCAAATGGAGCTATAATGTCTAATAGAATCATTGTTTGACTGGATGAACTGCCAAACATGTGACAAGCTGGGTTCATACACGCGTCCCATTTTGCATCGCCACTTCTTTTGGCTCTTAATGTTCACAGAGAAACACTTCAAAATGGAACGACTGTGCCTGGGCAACAGCATCTGAAGAAATTATGCAATAGCATGTGTACTCACATTGTACACTTCCGATTTCATCCGGAGACGTTGAATGCACTCTGTGCCATTTCGTGCTCTCTCGGACAACGATTGAAGTGCTTGTGACAGCTCCGTCTATTTATAGATAAATGAGAGAGAAAACCGGGGTTGGGGTGGGGTGGTGCAGGGGCAGGAAACGGACGGATATGATGTTAGCCTGGTCTTAGCGGCAGAGAGTAGACTCGGAAACAAAACAGTTACACATTTACATATGCAAAACGAATATAAATCTTCAGCATACAATAGCTTGAGAGTCCGCGAGCGGCGTACAAACAAAACGCCGGTTCTGTCGCTAACTCATCCAAGAGGCAGTAGTTTCTTTTTTGACAGGAATGAATGAGTTAAAGTAGCTGAGTGGGTAAGAGTAACCAGAACTGTTGCAGGCCACTCGGAATGATAAAATGAGAAAGTTTGTGTACCAAAAATTGAATTGTACTCAAATACGGCATTGATATGGACGACTGAAGCAACAACTTCGTTAGCGAGACATTTGTAAGCCAATGGCCTATGGACGTGCGATGAATTAAAATACAATTTGTATCATTTCAAACTGGATACAGTTGCATTGTGGGCTTAAAAAAAACATTTTTTATACGTTAAACTTTGAGCACATTCTAAAAGGTAATTCTTCACAATGGAACCTGAATCGAACAACACACTAAATTTCCTTGACATTA